GCCCTGGCCTCTGCCCTGCTGGCGCTGCTGCTGCTGCTGGTTCGGACCCTTGCCCTGCTGGGCTCCTGCTGGTACACTACGACACTCCGATGCCTTGTGCCCGACCTTGTGACAGTTAAAACAAGATCCCTGAAACTTGCACTGTTGATGCGCTCTCTGATCTTGCTGGGGTCCCCTTTTATAAGGGCCCTGATGCTGCTGCTGCTGCTGTCCAGAGAAAGACCTCTTGTTCTTGCCATTGTCTCCGCTCTGCCCTGCATTGGCCTTCACTTCTTTATCCTTCTGAAACATGGAAGTCTCAATCTCCTGCGAGGTGGCGGCCTCAGCTACCTCCCTAACTGAATAGAATCTCCTCGAGACGAGGTATCGGCGGATATTAGGGCGAAGCCCTGCCAAGAACATCTAAGCCTGACGCTCTCCTGTCTGCCACATCCCCATGAAATGTAACAGCTCCATGAACCTGCTCTCAAAGTCTGCAACCGTCATGTCCTCCTGAGTCAAACGGGACAACTCAAGCTCCTTCCCAGTCCGTGCCGCTGAAGAAACGTACTGCCCATCTAAAAAGTAAATGAAATCCTCCCATGTGAGGGTCATCCTCTGCTCTGGAGCAAACTGCAGTCGGTACCATCTCCCGGCATCTCCCTTCAGGCTATAGGATGCCAATCTCTGCTTCTGGACTGAGTCTACACCGAGTATGTCCAGAATATTACCCACATCATCCTTCCACTTATGGGCTGCAAGAGGGTCTGGTGATCCCTGAAATTCTGGTGCCCTCATCTTCTGGTACCTCTCAACCATACGAAGCCAAGTCTCCTGCTCTGTGGCTCTATCTGGGACTGTTAAAGGAATGACTGCAGGTGTGATCCCTAGGGATCTCTCTCTGACAGGAACGGAAGGTATCCCCTGTTGCTGAGCAACCGGTGGTGGTGGTGTCCGTGGTGCTATATGAGTCGTCACTAACTCCTCAATGGCCGTCATCCTAGCAATGAGGGGAGCCATAAGATCCACCAAGTACTGAGGAGCCTGCAGCGGCTCTGATGGTGCCTGCTCCTGCTCGGGTGGAGCCTGTTGCGGCTCAGGTGGAGTCTGCTGGGGCTCTGCATGAGTGGCCCTGCGAGTGCGTGGTCTACCACGTCCTGTCATCCCTCTGATCATAAGAAAATAAGAGTTTAAGAGTCAAAATAGACCTTCATAAATAACGTATCACAATACAATTTTTACAGCATATAGTATTTACACAAATACTTTAAATTTATACAAAATAGTTGTCATAATAAAAAAAATTCTCAAATTTTGAGATATACGCATATATCGTCCTCACTCAAACTGGCTTCCTCCTTCGGGATGATTCTGCATGATCTCCCGGAGTAGCCATAGGAATTAACGGCGACTTTGGTTGATTCGCCGGAGTTTGACTGTGACGCCCCTGGGTTCACACAAGGCTGCAGTCCAAGGTAAAACCAAGAATGTCAAACCTGCCATACACCACACCGTGCAATAACATGTTTCACCATCACAATTAACATCTGTCTAGTAGAGTCAACAACTGGTGTAGGTACAAAACAGGCAAAAGATAATACAAGATATACTGATGAAATGATAATAGTTACATAAATATCTCAACATCCAACATACAGAAATACATAGTCAAGATCTGAGTAGATAAACTGGAATACTCAACAAG